GTTCCCCGGGGGGGGGGGGGGGCCCCCCCCCCTTGGGGTTTTTTTTTCCCCCCCCCCAAAAACAACCCCCCTGGGTTTTGTTCCCCCCCGGGGGGTTTTTGGGGCCCCGAAAAAACCGGGGTGGGGGGGGGGGGGGGGGGGGGGGGGGGTCATCCCTTAAGTCTTCACACCTACAGCCACCCGTGTTCAAGTCCCCACAAAAATCGATATATTTTATTTTATTACAAAGCATCGATCACGCGGAGCCCCCGCAGCCACCGAATTCCCAAGGGACAGACCGTTATTCGTCAACAGCTCCGGCTGTAGTGTAGTGGCGATCACAAATGTGGCAACCTTCCATAGCAACCTTAGGCATGTCTCTACAGCGTGGTGCCATCAAATATTTGGACGGGATCGTTTTCTGAACGCGTCTAGAGCGTAAAACGTCAAATTGCGGGGGAACTTGCCCGAGAACGAAATTGGAGGTAGACGTGTGGGGAGTGGTTGGTCGACATATAGGCGGTAGAGTGCTTCACTGGAACGACCCTCGTGGTGACGATCCCCAATTTCGCCGACCCCTCAATGATACCTATGCCTATGCTATGTTATCCACTCTCTGGCGAAGTCTCGAGCGAGTTCGTCAACTCTTTCGCCCGCGTCTAGCAGCGTCTAGTTTGGATCTGAGAGCCGCGGAACGGTCTTGAAGCAGCAGCCCTTGCACTTTTGATAGCACGGCATTTACCAGGTTCAGAGCGAAACCAGGCCAAACCAACTCTCGGCGCGTGTAGAACACAACATGCTAGAGTTATCCTGCAGGTTTCATGGCACGTAGCTATCTGTGTGAGGAGCACCAGTAGTGACAAGGGTGTGCACCAGATGGTGCGCTGGGCAACTAATCATGGGGGCTTACCATCGATTTTCGCGGAGCCCCTTTGTCATATTTTTTTTGCTCTTTGTGGGACTTGCAACACGGGTGCAGCGGTACATCTTGCGTGGGTCACGATTGCGAGCAAGGAAAAAACGGGTATATCATCAGTGCTACGCTACGTGATGCCCATGGTTTCATCTGGCTTTCCGAACCGGATTACCGAGTTGTTAGCACCGCAGCATCCTGCAACCTATTCATAAAAGACTCCGCCATGAAAATGGAGCACACCCTCCCGATGTAGTAGACTTGAATTGAGGTGGGTCACTTGGTGCCTAGGGGCCGAACGGCCCACCGCGGCATAACTGCGCTAGAATCGATAGGTGTCCTAGACCTTCATCCACAGATAGGCTTGGACATGTTGGGTTTTAGGTAAGAAAAAGAGAGAACGAATGTAGTGCTTCCAGATACATTCGTACTGGCTGCCTGCCTCCGGCGTATCAAGCTGTCTTCCTCCGGTGTATCAGGGTTCCACCACCATGTGGAGCGCACACACTGCCGGGATCCTTCACAAACGGAAAAAACGTGCAGTGATCTATGGAAAAACTCTAAAGTATCCTTGCCTGTAATCAAGCAACCCCTGCAGAGAGGGAACTATACCCAATACCTAGTCTTCCACACACCGGTTACTGCCGCCAGTCCGGGTGACGGTAAAACGATTGCCCCATTCTGCGCAAGGCATGGAAACACGTCGAGCGCAAACTTTGTTACGCTTGAGGTTTGCTTGCTTCATATATTGACGAGCCTTGCTGCAGACAGCATCGCGTCCAGCGAAAGCTCGTGGGATCGCTCAGGAGGAGGGGGGGACGGGGGTGCATCTCACCTCCGGCATCGGCCTCGGAAGCAGGAGGAGAAGACCCAGTGGCCACAGGCTCCACCGTGGTCGCAGCTAGAGCCACCCTTGATCGCGAGCGCGTCGACTCTCGTCGTGCGGCCGTTATTGCAGACAGTGGGTTGTCATACGCCAGCAGATGGTGCCGAGTTGGTGATGTCGTGGCTTCTGTCGGGGGGTGAACTTTAGTGAGTGCTGTCGATGTCCTGGGATGCAGCAGGAAGCAACAAGAGCGGTCCAAGGATATCATACTTGTAGGATTGTTGTAGGCAATGCTGCTGTACCTGCCGCTGTGGGAACACGACAGAGTGGTTTCCAGTCAACATCGCCCGGAGCCGGGGCGCTGTGGTTTGGGAAACACCAGCTCGTAGAGAGGCAGGAGATGTACAGTAGCCTAGTCAGGCAGAGGGGAGTTGCACAGCAAACGCAGACAGCGTTCGGTTCATCCAGACGCGGCCTGCATACATCACTTGTACCTCGGGACTCGGGGCACACCGCAACAGCAGTCTGCAAGCACATCATGATCACATCAGAAAATATATAGGACTGGGTAAAGAGAGTACGAAAACGGCAAAAAAAACTAAACCATCTCGTGCCAGGAAGGCAACCTCCCGGGGCGAAACACAGCAGCACCCTTTCCTTACCGAAGCTACGCTAACCGCAACGGAGATGTGATGCAGCGCTGCATCAAGCAAGTTTTCTGTGTACAGTCAGAGCCGAAAAGAGAGGCTTCGTTGTCACAATACTGCTGTATGTACCTCATTACTTACCTCATGGGAGCACAGAAGCCATGACATCGTACAAGCAATAGGGTTATAGAAAATGCACCTCGAACCCTGATTCCAGTCCTTGCCATGGCTGCGCAGGCGGCTTCTGTGTGGGTTGGAGCGAGGGCGGAATGCCTGATGGGGCGGGGTCAGAGAATCGGTGTCAGCAAAATGCGGCGCAATTGCATCCTGTTTCGATTTGGCGTGTTTTTCCGGATCTTTCCATGGCGGTGACAGGCATGTCGTCAGAGCCACGTGTGTGCCTTCAAACCAAACGGGCCGCCTCCTCTCTGCTCAACAACAACTTCCACGACAGCTTCTCCTAGGACAGACACGAAGAGGTGAGCTGGAGGGCAGACTCCTGCAGGAACGTCGATGAGAATCACTGACCCACTCGCAACACAGCCACAGCGACAGAAAAACGCGTTCTCCGCCCGCCCTCTAGTCCACGATATGCATATGAGCACAGCAAGCCCCTAAATTTGGAAATTGGCGCACACGCTCTATCGAAGTCAATAGAATCACGCACACACGCCTTACATCACGACGCAGTTCGAAATACGTTCTCCTCCTCTATGCTCATGCCACTCTCACCATTTGACTCATGGGGCCAGCATCTGGGTTCGTTTTGAGACTTGCTGGCGGCGAGGAAAGGTGTGAATGTTGAAGTTGAAAGAGGCATGTGGACTGCTGTCCAATAGAACGCAAGTACAGGAGGAGCGGCAGCAGGTGTACTGGTACGTATGTGGCTTGTCGTTGTGGCCCAACGCCAGTACAGCGTGTAAACATTGCGAGGCCTCTCACTTGCTCACAGAGCTGCCCGTGTCGTGTACACCTATGATATACATCGTCCATTCTCGTAAAAGTACAAGACTGCTGATGCTGTCGTGAGTACTCCGGAGTATTAGATTACTGTATCTGCCGCTACGTGTACTGCTGTAGAAGGCCCGCAACCAGCAGCAGCCTTCGTTTGAGCGCCACCTGCTGCCAGCAATCCATTACAGCGTAAGATTAAACTCGTCAAGCGCCCAGCCGGGACGGAAGAACCCTCCCTCCGCTTATCAAACTATGACATACCTATCGTACCGGTGCCCACGAATTCGTAATGCCCACGTCGTGCAGCCGCGTACATGGTAAATTTGTAGCCAGTTCCTCGGGCGACCATCTACATAGACTAGACTAACGCGGTAGGCGCAAGACTACCCGAGGGTGGAGCAGCAGGCAGTGCCAGCTCTGTGCATATTCCGTCACGCACAAGCAATCAAATGAACCAAACCTACTGCTGTACAGCAGTAGCTTTGGAGGTAGAGGAGTTGTCCCCTTCATGTAGGCCCACGGCAGTTAGCGCTGCATGCTACAGCTGTCATGTAACAACACGCTCCCTCGTCTGGCGAGAGAGCATCTACTTTTGGCTGGTACTTGGGAGAGGCTGCAGGGCGTAATAATACAAAGAGGTGATGTATGTAAATGTAAAGCCATGCATGTTCAGGTTTCATGCCGAACAAGAGAGAGAGAGGTTAACGTACAAGTAGCCAAACCCGCCGAAACCATTGCTGTAGTCTCACCCATCGGTACATTTACCTACCAAACGATGGATATATGCATGTGTGGGGGGCAGGATGCCCGCACGTATCTGGTTGGCGCCAATTTATACTGGTACCCTAACCGTCCGCCATGGCCATTATTTCATAGTAGACAACCTCCTGCGTGAAACGCAAGAATGGACGTGGCATGTTAGCCTACAAATATTCGAAACGGGTGATGCCATTTGAGTGATGCTTGCGCGTGCCGACACACACCACCTCTGATTCGTCCGAAACAGACAGATGCTTTGCAAATAGGTAGCAGAACAACTCGCATAACCCTTCAGTTGCTTCAGTTCCATGTGTCCTCCATCAAGATACCCCAAATTCAGTGCGGCGAGCATGCTGATTACGGCGACTTCCGCAGGGAGCCCGTGCTGCTGTCCGCTCCAAGCTACGACAGACTCGAAAAAAATTGTTGTGCACAGACCAGAGGAGAAACTGACCACATCAATAGCAGTCTCAAGGCTGATAGAAATGTTTGTGTCTCTAGGCACCATTGTTGTATAGTAGTGTGCTTCTGACTCCTCGCAAACCAAAGTTGTGCATACTCTGTGGCTGCGGCACGCTCCATAACCCTGCTCTCGTACTGAAAACACGTGAGTTAAGGTCTTGTCGTGTGTGTATATAGACTGTCGGGTGGCTGTGTGGCTTGGATTGTTGTTGAATTTGATGACTGATGTGCATCACCTTGTGGTGGTCTTTGCGTCGTGGCGGTGACCAAGTGTGGCTATGTCCAAAATACAAAACGTAAATACGCATGACCATAACTGCACCCCTTTAACGATCCCCCGCTCGCCCACGCCCCTGAAAACTGCGCCCCCCATCTGAAAGGTATTCTTCAATGTGTTCGACTTTTTCAGCCACGGGACGGAGATAAACAACTAAACAGCTTGGAGGCCCTGTCACTACCCCCCGGTACACCCGGCTGCTGGTAGGGGCAGGGCTTGCTTCTGTGGCGTCATGGCGACTATGCTCTCAGCGGTGCAAAAATCGCAAGGGCAACCAGCACCACCTCCGGAGGGTGCACTGACCGCTGCAGCCACGGGGGGCACTTATGTGGAGGGGGGGGGGTGTTTGAATGGCGCCGATAGGAGCCTTCGTCAAGGCCAGGAGTCCGGCAGCGGCGAAGCGTGTGGAGGCGTCGTGGCGGCAGCAGGGGGAGAAGAAGGGACGCAAGTTCGCCCGGGGATGCAGCGCTCTCGTCCCCTCCCCCGCGAGTCGCCTCTGACGCCACCAATGTCCATGTATGCCACTACTGGTGCTGGTGCTGGTGCTGATGCTGCAGCCCCCGGTGCAAGGCCGGGATCGTTGAGGCCGTCTGCCAGCGGACTCTTGGCGGGAAACTCGTCGGGAATTTTCTCGCGGCAGAGGGAGGACCGCGCTGATTCTCTCGGTGACCGTTACAAAGGCACCAACGCCTTCCGTCGACAGCACCAGCAGTACGCGGCTAGGACGAGCATCACCAGGAACGCGGGTTATGGGGCTGGAGACCGGTACGGGGAACGTTCCGGCACGAGGAGACCCTCACATCAACTTGGGGCCGCGGGACGTGCAGGATCATCACCGACGGCGAAGAGTGGTGCGGGCGTGGTTGAGTCATTGCAAGGAGGAGGGGGAGGAGCAGAAAAGTCGACAGAGAGAGAGGGCCGGCATGGAGGTGGTGGCGGTGCTGGCAGACGGAGAGGCAGACGGGTGGTCGATCGTGGGCGAGAATGGGAGGAAACGGCGAAGGAAGAGGGGCTCGGGGAGGACGGGGAGGAGCGACGGAAGCAGAACGGTCGCGTGGCACAAATCGCCGACGGTATGGTATCTTTCATGTTCATGTTACCCGGGAGTTCACGTCAGCCGGGAAAAAAATCATTCGCAATGATATGGAGACTTGTTTCGGGCGGATGTGTGTTGGGAGTGTCTGTGTCATTGGCGGCCTCCTTATCACGAAGGTGTATCGTGTAGAGAGATGGGGTCGGGGGAGTCGTGAATTCAGTGTGAGGGTAGGGACGGTGGTTCACTCATGCCATTGGCAGTAGGCCGTGCTTTTCAGTTGCCTGAAGACGTGCTTTTCAGTTGCCTGAAGAATTCATTTTGATGTCTCGGCCTGCTCAGGCTCATAGTTTCCTCCAGCGGTCTTGTTTTGTGTTCGAAGTTTTCTGTTGTCGCCCGTTGTTTGATTTGGACGGTGGCAGACCGTTGTCATTTTCTGCGGCGTTCTCATCACCCAGTGCCACAAGCTCACAGAGTCTACACTGTCCTTCATCATTCGATACCTATTTTGCAGGTGAAGTTATTTTTTCGAAGTTTCGAAGAGAGCACGCCAACAGGCCCCCGACACTCGAGGGAGGCCGTACTCGTTCGCGTCTAAGAACAGTAGCATTGCAAAGGGGTGTATTTTGTCAACGTCTATTGGGTTGGTTGGCTTTGAAAAGACATCAAAGTGACCGTTGTGTTTTTGTCCGTTTCCCTTCGTCCTTTCCGTCGGTGTGACGATGGCGACAAACATCAGGCCTCATTTGGGTACAGAAGCACCCGGTGCTTGCAGCGGTGATCTGGATGTGCGGAAAGGTGACGCTATCATGAGAAAGAAGATTTGGACGTGAACATGTCTGCGTGACGGATACCTGTTTCACTTTTGAGCTATGAACGCTCTTTAGCTAACAGTCGAGCAGCGGCTGGAATCCCACCCTCCGCGTGCGTCCACCGAAAAGCCGTACAGCGATAAGGGTATCTACAAAGCGACAGTACCATTCTGACCAACCTCGTGTACTCGACCGTATCCGCGACCTCAGCTCATCGGACCCTTGCCTCATTATTTCCACGTCCCCCGCTTGTGCTGTTCGTCATGGCCTAGCCGGTAGCATAGCAAACCTTCTGCTCCATTCAGAACCGTCCCGTTGCCTTGGGTGAGCCCGATGATTTGCGAACAATAGCTGAACGATTTTGTTCGACGATTGGTCTTGTGGTAGACAACGATCGGTACCCACAAGTGTGTGTACTCGAAACCATCTACAGGTTCTCGACCCCGGCTCGGAAGACAAGTCAAAAGATGCTGCTGCAGCTGATGCTACAGCAGCTGAAGGACAGTCAACACCCGAAGAAAGCCATGGCCGACGAAAAGGTGCACTCTTTAACATGACATCACTCGTGGATGTTCAGGACTGGAACGATGTGATACTCCTCTGTATTTGCGAGATGCCCTGGAATCCTGTATGCCCTGCTTGTTGCTGCCTTACACACTCAGCATGTGCTCGTGATTGCTGCTGTATTGTTTCCCGGGGGTTCGAAAATCCCGTGCCCCTCCCCATGTCACCGTTCTCTCTGTTTTATGCTCTACTCGGAAGGTTTAGGGCACCAGTTCTCGTCAGGCAACAGTGATGGCAATTCAGATGCTGGTGCTGTTGACAGCATGGATCCAGACATGGCCGAGGGGCTGTGGAGAGGGTCTTCTGGCGATTTCGAGGTAGGGTGTAGGGTGTAGGGTGTGGCATGTGTGAAGATGATGATGAGCTAGAGTCTCCGAAGGGGCCAAGCGGGCACTGGGGTTTCCCTTGACCATTGTTTTCTCTACGGAATACTGGGGTACTCAGGAATTCAAGGCTGCATAACTCTGGTGTGGTATGATGATTTGGACAGGAAAAGGCTTGTGGAGTGCAGGTCACGACAAGCCTTTTCAGTGCCTTCGTGAAAGTACTTTGACTATGGTAATGGTCGTGCTTGTGTGCTTCACTCTTTTTGTTCCAAGCAGTGCCTCGAAATTGGGTTCATGTGATGGAAAGGGCATTGTTTTTCCTCTCTCGCTCGGGCTTCCTTCCTACAATACCAGTTCTTGAGTGGATGGTTGCATTGAGGAGGGTTGGGTCTAGCATTGAATGTGGCCTCGTGTCCTAAAGTTTCAGAACGAACGTGGGGCAGGCACACTTACGCAGGGCTTGGCGTAGGGCAAATGTGAGCAGCTTTCGCAAGCTCTGGCTAGCGATAACACACTTCTGCATGCTGCTGTTGTCCGTTGTCCAGCTTGGGGGTAGCGTTTCCCGTGGTGCTATTTGTGGCGATTTTCTTGACTTGTGCAACTTGCCTGAACGTCTATCGATGGTTTCAGAAAGGGAGACCCGTGCCTCCAGGGTTTTGGCGACGGCATTCCAAGGGCCGTCTCAGCTGGAGCGACGACTACCAGGGCGGCTGCCTCGCAGAATACTACGAGGTGGGTACAGCAACAGAACTTGGCCTTGCATTAATTTGGAGAAAGGGTAAGGGTAGGCCAGCAATATATTCGTGTTTTTTTCCCGCTTTCTCTTTGGAGGGTGGTGGGTAGCCTGAGATCGCCTCCTGATGCAATGGCGTGCATTAATCTTGCCCCAGGATGAGCGAAGCCGGATGGTGTCGGAAAGCTCCAGCGTTCCACCTGGCGACACGGACGTGTCAACATCCGCACCAGCAGCAGGAGTAGCAGCAGCAAGAGAGGAAGGAGGAGGAGCGGCAGGATCCAGAGCGGACAGTTGTATCGTGCAATCGTGCCGTTCGCAAGGTGGAGGGAGTACGACAGCGGCAGCATCGCCCAGTCCTAACGCCACCAAACAGCCGGAGAAGGGTTCCGAACCGCCTGGGCTATCCACGGGGCAGGATGAAGATGGTGATGTGTTCCACAGCGCTCTCCAGCTCGTCGACGAAGACGATGACTTGGGAGGTCTGGATGGCGGGTGTGCTGCGCTGGTCCGCCGCGACACGTTCTACGGAGACGTTCAGGTTTGAACTAGGAAGATGAATGGCGGAGTTTCGATTGCCTTACCACGCTCTGTGTGGGTCTACTAGCTTGAATTAAAATCCGCCAAAGGTTGTCGCAACCGAGGTTGATTGCACTGGTCGCACGTCCGCGTTGTTTCGTTTGGTATTCCAAACATTACTGCAGATCCCGCCAATGAGAGTCCTTGATTCGCCCTCGCAGGAGAAGATGGAGGACAGAAACGTGCGTTTCAGCGCAGCAAAGGGAGGGAGCGGCGGTGGAGCTGCAGCTTCCTCACTTGGTGGAGAACCGGCCAAGCACGAGCAGAGCGAAGGTACACCTACACATTTCGTTGCATATCTGTTTTTCCGAGTCTGTACCAGATGCCGAGGGGATCCACGAGCTACTTGTATCCGTCAGTCGTCCTTGTGTTTGGTCTCCTCTACGTACTTACAATGTAACGAATTGAACTTTGTACCAAGTTATCGGTCCGTTTTTGTAGGGTACTCCAACCCTAACCTTACGAGGCTTATCCAACCCATCGCAATCGTCATCGGATCATCTTTAGACGGACACCAATTTTGGATACACCGCAGAGAGAGGCAGGAACATGTGCAAAACTACGTAATGTGCGACAGACTGAAACATCGGTGCAGGCTTACCGTCATAAAACGGACCGAGAATTTGGTATGCTACGAGACGGGCTCGTGCACAGTGTTTGGCATGTAAACATGTGGCCTTACCGAAGTTCAGAAGGTCCCGCGGGCCTTCACGAAGTACGGAGGGTCCCGTCCGGATCCAAGGACATGTATCGCATGAGCACCAGATATGTAGGGGATACTTTTGCTGTACTAACGTGTGCGGTGCTGATCATGATATCGAAGCTACGGCGGTTTGCGAGTTCATGGATACAATAGTGGTGTGCGAGCGAAAAGGTGTGGTACACCAAGCTTTCGGCCCCACACGGCCCCCTGTTGGTGCTTTAATTCCTTGCTCTGGCACGTCCCCTCCCTTTACCATTCCTTCGCGAACACTTACCTCGTTAGCCAGCAGAATTGTCCTTCAGTTTTTCTCGTGTTCCATTCCCACAGGGAGCGGGTGTCGAGGAGGACAAGGAGGAGGAGCGGCTGCTGGTGACACTGGTGTCGCAGCTGATAGCGGTGGCGGTACGGGTACGCCGACGGCCGGGACCAGTCCGGGTACCTGGTCTCCTCAGTGGGGGTGGTACGTCACCATGACCCCCCCGCAGGTGATGTTTGTTGTTGGTGTTGTTTGTGTTGCGTGATTCCTTGTTCTTGGTGTTTGATTTGCATCTCTCAAGAACAATCGCTTGTCCTTATACATTTTGCCAACTATTCAGGTCGGGCATGGTTCTTCCTCTGTTTCGATCCCATGTCATGCTCTCCGTGGCCTATCTGAGATCCCGACGCACCCATCACCCTTTTCTGGTAGATACAATGAGGCCTCTGGAACATGTGACGCCGGCTATACCCAAGGTATCTACGTGCTTATTGTTGTTGGCTTCCATGGCACGAACCCTACCCTGGTCTCTGGACTTAAGCATCTGGTACAGAATACATGCCGTCATTCGCTGAATGTTTTTGTTCGTTGTCGTTGTACGCTTGACAGGATCAATACCCAGCCCAGCAGTTCCCGATCCCCGGTGCCAAGCCGCCAACCCCAACCGCATCTGCCGCAGCATCCGACGTGCACACTTCAGCCAAGGGGCGTCCGCCAAGACCCTGAGGAATCCTGGTCGTTAGTCTTCCACGCGTCGAGGCTGCCTAGACGGGGGAGCCTATTTTGTTTGATCCCTATGCACTTTTTTGTTTTTGCGACAGTCGCGGCCAGCTGGAACATCCCTTTCTGCCGGAAGCTTATTTGTTTTAGCTGCCAGTTCCAAACAAGCTGTCATTGAAACTATGAGCGATATTGCTTGCAGCTAGTCATTCAGGGATGGAACTGTACATCGTCAAGGCTCTGTCTGGAAATCGATTCGGACCTCTGGTACCAGACGGCACTGGAACCGGCGTGATGTTCATTTGGTGGCGATCTTCCAGTTAATACTTTGTGGCTGTCATTTGTCAAGCCTTTACGTTGTTGCTATGCTTGCATGATATATGAAAACTCGCTGGGTACTTTTCGGTATGATAAATAGAATCCCTGCTCGCCTTGCTTTTGATGTTTTGCATGGTCCATCAGATTGCAATCGTGACGTTCTCATGATTGACGTGATTCAACTCTTGATTGCATTGAGTTACGAATGACGCGACGGCGGTATGTCTTATCATTTTCCGGCAGCCTCAGTCATACTTCTACAACAGAGGGAGGGATTTATTTGAGCAATGAACTGTTGGTTAAGGGTCGAACGTTGTTGGCATCTGCATCTTGCTGGCTGCCCCAGACCGAGTGATTGCTTATTCTACCCCCCGAAGGGTACATAGACACCGGCTTTGCCTCCCAGTTGAATTCATCTTGGAGTGCATTCTCTTTCAGTTCGTGCATGTTGTTCATGCGGGAGGTTATAGATACGACATACTGAAAAGCGCTGGTTGGGTTACCATTACGCTGGTAGCGGTCATTTGTTGCATTCCTTGCTGTTCACGTCGTCTTGAAATAGAAGGTATACGTGTCACAGCCGTTTCATGTTGTGGTGTTGGATGCTAGGGAGATACCTCTATGTCGCTCCAAGGACCGTTCGTGGAAATTTCTTGGATTCCCCTCGCAGTTCTCATGGGCACGAGTGAAGGTCTGCTGCCATTTTTGCAGTCATGTGTCCAACACTCCTGGCGGACTTCACCGGTAGAACTCGAGTTTGTGACAAAAATCGCGTACGGTGCTTGGCTTGTAGAGTGAATGTAGTGGTTAATTTGACGCGCAATAGACGGGCGCATTTTCAGTCTCAAGTCGTGAAGAAGTCTGTAAGGCGACCAAGTGGACGGTTTCTGTTGGATGCGTCTGTGGAATAGGGGAAAACCCCGTGGTAGCTATCGTAGTTTTGGGGGTTTCAAGAGCTGCCACGTTTGTAAGTGAAGTTAGCACTGTAATTCCAGCTGAGTTTGTTATCTGTAGCTTGTTTCGAAGGCGGCCGCTTGGGTCTCCTCCAGACTTCGGTTGGTCAGCGTTTGTTTAGAGCACGGCCTGGTGTTGATCGTTATTGGAGGAGGCCTTCGCACTATGTTCCATTTCTCAAGCAAGGGGGTCGCGATGGTCTTACCAGGTCGGACGCACAGCATCTGCATAGCATGCGCCTTGCTCGTGGCATACAACGGAGAGTTTTTTTCTTCTTTTTTTTTTTCCATTGGGCCAGTTAAATCGCCTATTCAAACGAGTTCAGTGTCGCCGATAACTCTTCCTAGTCTATGTCGAGTTTTGGGCCTCGGCTGCTTTTGGGCTCGGCTGCTTCTTGGAGACGGCTCCTGCGTGGTCGAGAGTAGTTGCGTCGACCTTTCGATGGTGGATAGACTAAAGGTTTCACAGCGGAGTAAATTCACAGAGTCTACGGCCCTTGCTGCAGTACTTCTGCATACAGCAGCAGGCCTGTCCTATTTGAGGGTCGAGGATGTCATTGGCATGCAAAACTCCCCGATGCATTGCCTAATTTTGAGGAATCGGCTCGAGCAAATGCGACCAGCACCAAGGACTCTTGTGTCTCACGCATTGCAGTGAGCTGGTGGTGAGTGCAGGTGCTACGCTGTGTTTTTTTTCTGGCCCTATTCCTTCTGGTAGTTTTTTTCTTCGTTTGCATGCATGTATACATCGAGAGTGTGGGAGTAGCAGTCGCGGAGCAGCGGAGAGCGACAGCGGCAACGCAGGGTTATTTTCTCTTCGTCTACGCGAAGAACATGTGCAACGACGAGTAGTGTCGGTAAATGTTGTCTGTGTCGTGCTAATTTTTTCTTATGCAAGCGATTCGGCATACATTCAAGGGACAAACGTTGAAGTTTCATGGTCTTCTACTGGCTTCGGTTGGTTTCTCTGCTGCGATGATAGTTACTATAGGACTTCCTTTTTGGGCAGGAGTTCGCACACCGTCCTATTGCGCTGGCGTTGATGTCCCAATGGCCGAACCTTGGTGTGCTGCTTTGGTATGAAAAATGTAGTGGTTTAGTACACACGGACAGGACATCGCGGAAATTGAACGGAATGCTTACAGTAGTAGTCTAGCCTACCTACTGCTGTTATTGTTGTTTTTGATGTTGTAGAGGCAAATATCATGGTTTTGAGTGGGTAGCCGTTCTTCTTCCCCTCTCGCTGCACGAGGGATATTACATTTATGGGCGAATGATTCCTTCAAAAGGATTTCTCTCTACGGCATCGATTGATTGGTGCATGTGGCGTCTCCACAGAGACAGATAGATGCTATTTGTATTTTTTAAACTTATCTCACAGAAGATATGTTTTTTTGTCATTTATTTAGCTAGTCGCGATAAAGCAGCTCGGTAGAGTACGCCCGATCCATGTGAACGTTCCTTGTGGATACTTCTGTTGTTGCTGGTCGTGCCGAAGACAACAACAAACAATACAAGAAAATGTTTAGTGTCCCGGAGACAGACCCAGGGCGCCGATCATCACATGGCTCAGTGGCTCAGCACTCAGCACCATTTATTTCACGGCGGCGGCGGCAGACCCTTGAAAAATAAGTGCAAATATATTCATTCATTGTCAAGTCTTATCATGGTGCTCTACGCGTGAATGATGAGTAGATGGATGTGCATAGAAATAATCTCACCCCTGCACTTGGAGGCCAAGGCACTCACGCACACACCCGTATATAATATATTATACGTATGCATATGCATACAATACGTACACGAACAATTCGTTGTCCCATCAATATGCATATTCTACGGTGGTCTACGGCGAAGCTTGGCGAAGCGAGTTTTTTCTCAAAGGCACAACGAATGAATCCATCTCTCCTTCTAACGTTGTTAGGAAAGGGTCTAATAGATTTTTACTAAATAAATAGCACAATGAACGAATGACGCTACAACATGGATTCAATCAGCGGAGAGGAGGCTATGACCAAGGGTACCTTGTACTGCATTTATTTCCACGATTTCCCGAGAGCAGCACCCAGCGAGCGATGATATCATCAGATCTCCCCTCTTTGTTGAATTTGTCGCTCATCATCATGCTCTCCCCAGACCACGTACGTACGTGTGAGTGTGCCTCTCGTCCTGCCGAAGGTGGGACCATCCGGTGCGGTGAAGTACAAATAATGTCATGTTTAGATAGTACATCAGCCCATGTTGCTGTAACAACGCTCTGGCGTATAATGGGCTATTGTTATCGACCAATAAAACACGAAGAAAAAAACTGACCCGTGTTTTCTTGAACATATATATAGACTATATATGGAGGGGTTTTCATTTCCCCGAAAGCGTGAAAATAAGGAGCCGGGTGTTTGGGGGCTTGCTACTTTCTTCACGAATCCATCCGTGTTTTTGACAGAAGCATCGGACAAGCGCACCGCGGGCGCTGTAACATCACTGAGAACGCTAGAAAGACCTGCCAGACTCACGTCCAGGTCTGTTGTGGAGATGGACAAACAAGCGGCAGAAGCGGCGTTCAGTCCGTTCTTGGCCCAAAACTAGGCATGCATTGCGTGGTGCTCTCGTCTTCAACTGCTGCTGCTGCTGGTGCTGTTTTTTTTTTTCAATCACACATAGCAAACACCGAAACAGTAGAACAAGTACAGCAGCAGCACCAAGACCTCCAACGCGCTGATTCCTTCGGTTCGGCTGTCTATATGATACCATCTCCCGGCGCCGTGCTGCGTCGTGGGTATCGGGTGCTTGGGTGCTGCTCAATGAAGTGTGTGAGAGACGTGTGCCACCTCGTTGGGAAAAATGCGGCGAGATGATGATCTATCTGTTGTTTTTGGTCGGACGCATCAACATCAATCCACGGCACCACGCAGCAGTAGAGCAACAGGGCCTCCGACACGCTAATTCTTCCGGATTGGCCATCTATATGATGCTGGCCGTCAGCGCGGCTGCCGCCCTATGATTGTTGAGCTCGTCTACCTTTCTTTGGGCAGGTGGTGGTCAAAGATGGGAGTCACAACCGTGAAAAATGAGCTGGCAAACTGAAGAAATCGCAAGAAACACCCAGGTGGCGACACTCTGCCCTGCGCCTGTTGTTGCTGAAAAAAACTGAAAACAGCAGGTCAGGTGGACGGGATCTTTCTAAGTGTGTTGTCCTCTGTGTCGGGTGCTGCTCATTGCGCTTTCACCGCTGCTCTATGGTGAGCAATACCATGTCAACCTGTTGTGTGTCGAGCAAGACGTATATTCAGGGAAGGAAAGAAAATTTTCGCGATGACATCACGATTAGACTACATAGAACAAGCGATGTATAATAATCGGATCTTCTTTTCACCGTTCCGTGAAAAAAAGCGTTTTTTTTTCGTTGCGTTAACAATACCCCTTTTATATAATAAAACCACAAAGGAGAGCGACGACGTTGTCTGCAGAGATTTCCGTCTGAGATCTGCAAACAATAACAATCCCCATCAAAACCCCTCACGGATTCGGTCGAAGGCCGACAACGCGACTGCCCCGCTGCAATGCATTAGGGAACCTCTGCATTAGGGGATCGTTTCCCACAAAAGTCCAAGGGGAACCTCTGCACTAGGGAACCCCCGAACATCGAAAACGACAAGAAGATCTGTATCTTGCAGAAGTGCGCCCTGTCTGATGCCCTGATGAGATGTTCCCAGAGCTCTGTTTCCATGATGATGAGCAGAATTATTAAGGAATAATAAAAACACATACGCGTACCACATTGAAAATACGTTTGTAAACTGAGGGAGATTGCATGCCCTACGATTAAAAGGGTGTCACACACAAAACGCCCGACCAGTACCTAACACATATCATCTGCACCTTCCCAACATAACATATATGAGACACACAAGACAGGTACCAAACTGTCTTGTTGAGCCTGTTACCCGCAGGGGAGATGTCCCTATATATATGCTGTCTGGGAAATCGTAGACACACAGGTACTTTCTGACGCTATGAATCCATTTGCTAATCTGTCTCAGACTCTTTTCTATGATAGAGATGGTTTCGTTGTGTCATCTTAAGAAAAAAAAAAAAAAACACACACACACACACACAGAATATGTAGCCAAGTTCGTTCATGGAAATATCCTAACGGGACGAACGATTTTTTTCGTGAAGACAGCAACAACAACAATGAAACACACCTCTTGTGGGGTCAACGACAACAACAATGGTGTGATACCAGAAAATATAATCTAGCCTACTTGTTGTGCTGAGCAGACACCCCAGCCGCTTTCAAACACGTTGTGAAGAATCAAACAGCACCGCAACGTCTCTCTCTGTCGAACAGCAGCAGTCAACCGGTGGTGCTATTCAGACCCCGACTGCTGTGAATGTTTGCCTTTTTCAAGAATGGAAGTGTACCTCCGAGTAGGTATGTCGCATGCGGGCAATTCGGGGTGCATAGTATTTTTTCGAAACCCCCGGAGTACTCTCTCTCATTCCACTCAACACCCAACCAGGATTGGCTGGGAGAGACTAGTCTATCGTGACGTAGATGGCCACAGACGTCCAAGAGCCAGGGTTCGGCTGCGTAAGGACGGGAGTGAGGGCGAGCGCAAAATAATCAGCGTGGACGCGGTGGACGAAAGTCAGGTGAGAATCTACCCGCCGTACATATCGGTGCGGCGAGGGTTTTCTCCAAGCTGCCATGCTGCTGGCAGGGTACAGCAGTAAGGCACGAGTTAGCTAAAGGCAAACATGTCGGGCTATCATGCATGTGTGCCTCGTCGAGAGATACACAGCCCGCACAGCTTGCTCTGTAAACTGTGCTGTTAGCCGTGCTGGTTGTGATAAAGAAGCCCCACACCCAAACAGATAGGTATCACACCGACGCTGACCGACGGTCAGCACTACAGCAGTACAACTTCCTTCCTTCTTCAGAGGGAGAGCTGTTTGCGGATACCGTCACAGTCGGAGAGTTGGCATCGGCCGGAGAGATGGCACCGGTCGGAGAGATGGCACCGGGGTGCGATAAAACAACTCGATCAAACATCAAACACATTTAGAGCAGTGGGTACACCCGGTCCAAACACGGCCATAATCGGGTACCCCTACAAGATGCTGCTGGCTTTTGGAGTACAGTACATACATGCATCAGTTTGTTCCATAACTACAGCAGTATTTACACACGAACAAACTCGACGTACAAGACGATTCTTGATTTTCGGATGTACCGAAAAATTACATGCACCCACACCTTTTTTACCCCGTGCCGCGCTGCCGTGTTTTGGTAACGACAACCGGCACCAACCCCAAAAACTCCCGGCCCAAAATCTTTACCTGACTTGCTAATACCTGATCACTACAATTGTTTCTGAACGAAAGCACTTTTGTCCCCGGTAAGAAGACGTCGAACTCACCCCTAAGAAAGGCAGCAACGAACCCCTGTTACCCCCCTCAATCGAACATTTGACTGTTGAAAACGGCGCTACCCGACGGTGCACACCGAGCCCCAAAAGGACTCCCAACAACTAAATCAATCGCTTCACGTTGTTTTGTGACTCACACCCCGGCTTTCTGAAGCTATGAAATCCACCCGAGACACATACATCAACGATCCTTTGACCAATTTTCTCCCCACGCGTGTCTGATATGATATAAGCGCACTCTCCCAACGCAAGGCCGAAGCTGAAGCTGAATATTTCACATACATATATATACACAGCACGTTGACAAGGACAAACATAGACACAGCACTTGACAAGGACAGCAGCACTTTGACATAGACACAGCACATTTTCAGCTTCAGCTTTCTTGCGGAATATCAGTACGGGACAGCAGGCCTTTGGCGGTCTTAGGGGAAAGTAAAAGCCAACGAACCTTGCTGTATTTCCTACCCTGGAACTCCAAAGTTCACCGAAGAATGACCACCATGAGAACGATATCATCGCGTTGAAAAAGAGCTTCAAAAGCTTCCTGCCCGAAATCGGTGGAACCACAACGGAGCATTGACCCCCTATCCTAGAAGAAAAGCGCAACGAACTTCCCTGTGAGAACGCAAACACTTCCGGACATTCGCACCCGCATTGACCACGGACCACCAACAAACCAACCAAAAATGATAGAACCAGAACCCCTCGAGGCGGGACTGCCCGCCAATTTTTCAGCAAAAACTCAGTCTTCCGAACACAGGCTATTTTTGAATGGCCTGTGCCTCTCCCACATGTTTGCGGCCTATGCCACTTATTTATCGAGTGAGACTGTTTCGGTGATGTATTAACTTCACGAGAGGTAGGCGACCGTCCTTCACACGGACGAAAGAGGGAGTGCTCCACACAGAGCAGCTCCAACAGCAAGGAGGGGCCCCGTGACTCATCACGGTGCCCCCTACCAAACGGCAATCTTACCAATCTGCGTGACACCAAATCATACAGCACATGTATCCAACACCAATGTTCGCTGACCCACGAACACCCTCCCTGGTTCTTCACGCAAGTAACTAACCATCAATGGGGAAAGAACGCCCCTGGATACATCAGAAATACCAACATGGTA